GGGGGGGGCGCACGTCTCAGGGCCTCATACAAGGATCGCTTGTACATTAACGGGCATAGCTGCCTCTTTTCAAATAACGGGGATTTCGGGCGCGCCCGAGCGGGCGGATGTAACAGGACGTGTATACACGCCCAGTTACATCCAAGAAGCTCCCGGCCGGCCGTGTATACACAGCGGCTGGCCGGGAGGTAGTTAACAGGCCCCATGTGTGATAGCATTCGGAGGTGACAAGTTCTCTTTATGAGCCTGCCCTCCAATACAGAAGATCCAGCACATGTATGCTCTATCTTCTGTGCAGCTCTACTTGTGACAGCTGACAAAAGGAGCGCTGCAAGTACAGCGGTCCTGTGTCACTGAACACAAAGCAGAATGGAGAACAGACATTCCCCGCTGGCCATCCTGAAGGCATTTGGCCTTTCCCACAGAAGAGCAGGGGACCCGATAATCACAGCGCAGAGAGGCGGCTGGGGGTCGGACCAACAGGCTGATTACAAATTGATCTGAGCAGCTGTACAGCCACTCAAAGCACTAATATAAAACGGCTCCCCCGCTCTACATTTAGCTCTGCTTTCCCGAAGCAAGGCTAAATGTAGAAAAAAAAACCCATCCAGCTCCAGGAACGGCATGTCCTGGGCTTTGGGCGATAGGAAATTCTGCACCCCTACCTGGGTATATGTGCACTTTATTACAGCGATGCAACATAAAATGTCAACACTTCCTGGTAGTAAACACAAGAACTCACCTGCTCCCCCAATTAACCAGCAAGGCTGCCAAAAATAGTAATGGATCAAAAGAAACAAACAAAAAGAAAACATCTGAGCCAGTTAGGGCTCCAGTGCTTTGCAAAACGGTCTGTCTTATGCTGGACACACACACACACACACACATCAATTCTCCATCAATGTTAAGCAATATGGTTCTGTTTAAGTGCTGTAAGTTTCTTACGGTGGTAATGACTGAAGTTAACATTTTTCTGGTTATTTGGGTTTTTCACATACTTTAAAAAAAAAAATCCTCTGTGGTCAACCCGATGGGGATCCTGGGTCACAAAAAAATGTTGGCAGATACAGAAGTAAAGTAGTGAGTAAAGTAGGAAGTGTGGAAACTAGTAATAAAAATGTACAGTATGATTTTGCATGGGGTTCCATTTTAACAAAACAGAGATACACAGATATCAAAACCAATGTACACTCCCATTCAGTGGTAAGTTTTGAAGTACAAAAAAGATTTTTAAAAATCACAAACAGAAGCAACATTCTGCAAAAGTGAAAGCAGCAATGCTTCTTTCAGCAAGAAAGCTATACTCCCTGCAGCATTAGTCATCACTATGATTAATGACTAGGTCTGGAGGCAACACCCACATACCTCAGTATTATTTTTATCTATACAAGAACACTACTGATTTCATCAAGTCAGGTACATTAAAACTAGCATCTTAGGGCAACATGCAATCTAACAGTTTAAGAATGGAAAGTGAATGAGATCTTAGACCATTCCAAGGACAACTGACGTTAGGACACCATATTTCCCACTAAAGCTGCTGCTTTTGGATAGATTCAAGCAGCCTCTCTCAACCAGAGTTGTGTGGAACCCAAAGGCTCCTTTTGAGATTGCAAGGGGTTCCTTGAGCAATGAAAAATGGATAATTGATTTCCTGCCCATGTTGTACAGACCACCAACGTAATGGTGTGCATCAAAATTGACCACGGATGTTAGGACACACTGCAATTTTTTTATTCATTTAATATATTTTCTTAAACTAAATTTTGTTATATACAGCCGGTGGATATTAAATAATCTGGCCTAAGTGTGAAATACTTATTTTATGTAAATCTTTGTACAATGTACTCGTCATACTAATGTATTGTGAGCTGCAGCTAAAATAAATTTTAGCAGGGGTTCCCGAGACTTACAAATGAAATAAAAGCAGTCTTTTTTGTGGGAATTTCCCGTCACTGCCTGTCTTTAGACAGAACAGGAAATGAGAGATCACTTCACACAAAAAAAAAGGGTAATTCCTTTAGCTGTCAGTGGAACGAATGTCCCCATTGCAAGCTTTACCCTCCCTCTCTGATCATGTTTCAATGATAATGCATTTCATGCAAAGTGAAAATAGTCATCTGGACAAATAATGCTGATGCTCCCCAGAGGCAATAAAAACCTGACAGAGGTTCTGACCCTTTTCTCTACTTTATCCAAAGCAAGAGAGAATAGACTTTATATCTACTTGTTCAGAAAATGTTTTGTTGTAACTTTATGGGCTCATGCAGATGGGTGTATTAAGATACTCCCATCTACGCTGGATCATTGTTTGAAAAATCCAGTGTAAAAGCGCATAGTTTGGCACATGTTTATGCGCATATGGCGTTTAGATTCTAGTGACTGGAATATTCATTGCGCGCCACTAGAATGAACTTAGCATTTAGACTCATACATTAGGACAGTAAGCTTTGGGTCATTTTTTTATGCCCCTGAACCACGCTGCAAAATACAAATCTAAATGCCACAATATGCATGGACACGTTGACTGAAATAGTTGCATTCAGTGGCAAAAAAAATACGTGTTTGCAAGCTAAAAAGGACAAGTTTGCAATGTTTCGCAACACTGCTAATTCATGTAGCAGAATGAGGTTAGGCAAGTTTATAGTCTCATGGCAGAACTACCCTTACAGAACTTTCAACCCACTACTTTTGAAAAACGCATAATGCAGTAGCAAGCAATTTACTTTCTACGTGTTTCCGTACCTAAAAAAGGCATTTTCTGCAATCATAATTAATTTTCCTCTTAATAAACAAGGCAGCAGGCTACCAAGATCTATTTATAGAAGTTCATTAACGCTGGAACTAAAACAAGTGCAATCAGTATTGCAAGTGGCTTACACCCAAATCAAAACCTTAGTAGTAGTTACAATTTCTGACTTCCAGCACGGGGATCCTCTTTTCAACTCCCTGCCAAGACACTTATCTGCAACCAGGTTGCATGTTCTCCCTGTGCCTGTGTGAATTTAGTCCGGTTTCCTCCCACACTCTAAACACACACTGGTAGGTTAATTGGCTCCTGTTTTTGCGTGTTTGTACGCGCGTTAGCCACATGCAGTTATTTGCATGTTTATGAGCGTTGTGCACATTTATATGCGTGGTTTAACGCGCGTACATAAAGACACGCAATTTGATTGGCAGCTCATAAACCATTGTGGTCAATGGAAGAACGTGCGTATAAATGCGCAAAAATGCTCACAAAAATGTGCAACATGCTTCTGAAAAAGCACTTTTAACTGCCCAAAGAAGCTCCTGTATCTTTTCAAGCGTCTGGCGTTTTTCTGCTCAGGTGTGAACCAGGGCCATTACAAATCATGGGATTTCTTGTGTCGGTCAGTTAAAAGCACTTTTCGAAATGCTCAAAAACACCTAGGTGTGAACCAGGGCTAAAGTGACCCTAGCAGGTTATGAATGCAAGTATAGTGATATGGATGGACCTTCGAGTGTAAGCTCCTTGAGGGGAGGGACTGATGTGAATTGAATACACAATATCTAAAGCGCTGCGTAATATGTTTCTGCTATAAAAATGCCTGAAATAAACTAACCACATTATGAAATTACAACTGGTGATTTAGAGGGGAAAAAAAACACCCAGTGCAAAATTGTTGGCTTAAAAATAAATATGCACCATTTAGGCTGCATTCACAACTAAGCGTAGCCAGGCCAATTAGAGGCTTATTTGCATGTTTGTATGCACTACTTGAAGTAGGAAAGAAGACAAGCTTTAACGGGAGTCGGTGAAAACCACGTGTTTATGTTTCTCAGGTGCTCCCATTAAAGTCTATGGGGTAAAAATGCATAATTCTGGCTGCAAAGAAGCTCCTGTACTTTTCAGAGCGACAGGCATTTTGGTACAAACTCCAGCACCATAGAAGACAATGATTACAAGTGCCTTGTAAGCTTTGAGCTAGAAAATCCTCAAGTGTAAAATGGGACCTTGGATTGCAAGCTCTCACCAGCTCTTGGAATCACCTTGTAAACCACTGCACAACCTGTTGGCGCTATATAAATCTTGTATAATGATATACAGTGTAAGTGAGCTGACCTCCAGTCACGTGACCCAGCCCAACGAACCTCAAAGCAGTTGCTGGATAAGCACAGTAACAGGTTGCACTGCCATAGCCCATGCATCACATGTGCCATGCCGCACACGGAAACACGTACAACGTACTTATTACAAGGGTTTCTTCCTTATCCCACCCACTTCAAAACAAAAGACCAAGCCTCAGATTCTAGAGAAAAG